AACTTTTTCCCATTTGTAACTGCGGTTTCGGTATTTGGCTAAATTTTGATGCGGTATTGCGGTATTCTCGCGCTACCACGTGCGGTATTGCGGTATTCGTACCCCCCTTACGCCCCCCTCAAGCTGACATGAATCGCGGGAGATTTTTGTCAAACATTCCTTCCGCAATGATACCGATTTGTTTTCGATCGCTAGGACTTCAGAAAAGAGCCATTTACTGAGTATTCCGGCTGATGTCCGTGTTTAATTTTCCCTTTGGAAACATATTTTGTAGCAGCATTATCACGCTAGCATTTCTATGCCGGCCTTGGGTAAACAGAAAGGAAACAAGAGGACCAGATCTGTTGCTTGGGCCATAAGATCATCAAACACCAACACAATTTTTATTTCTTGTATATTATGGGGTGAAATAAAGTGTTGTTGTTGTTGTTGTTGGTAAACTTTGGGTCAATTTCCCGAAGATCTTCTTTAAACTCTGGAAGGCCACGAAAAAACTGAATTTCCTTTCCGACAGATGACTGCATCACTTTGTAGGTATCCTGCCACTGACTGTAGTACCACCATATTCGCCTCGGTTTCTTGCTCTCGTAAAGAATACGATCCGTTGTGAGAATTTTTTCAACGAAAAAAGTTTTACCACACTAGTACTGAGTGGGGCCCACCACGAGAAGTGAAAATTTATGTCGAAACATAAATTCTGGATATGCCTTGCTTTCTAGGAAAACATCGTTAGTTAATTTGGGTCTCTTGACAATACAATGCTGAGGTTTTTCTGTTTCTTTGACAGCTGCAATAGTTCGTTTTCGTTCTCTACTTTTTTCCTTTTCCGTGTGTAATACTTGGGGAAAACGTCGGGACACTCCTTGTGTTATACCCAGACTTTTCTTAGACCCCGAAAATACTGCTGCTTTTAGCCATTGCTTTTTTTTTCGTGGCTCTTTAATCGATGCACTTGACGAAGGTAATCACTCAAGGAGAGTAACTCTGGCTTGCCACATAACATAACATAACATAACATAAAACTTTATTTATACTCGAATTTTCGAGTAGCTAACAAGCTAATATCTCCGAGCTGACACTACATAAACACTATATAGAAAATATATACATACATTAAATGCAAGGAAAGAAAATATTATTTACAATTCACAATTTTAAGTTTAAGTATGTCAGGCAAAAAGAATCTACATGAAGGTAACATCCTGTATTTTAGTCTTGAAGTCTGCAAAAAAAACTGGTACGAAAAAAGTCCGGCAGTGCATTCCACTGCTTAGCTGAAAAGTAAGAAAGGGAATTAAAACCATAGGTAGTTGTTTTAGGTTTACTTAGTGAAAGAATGTAGTTGCCACGAAGATCATAGGAAGAGGACCGGAGTGAAAACATATTCTTCATATAAGTAGGAAAATGAGTGAAAAACAAACTCTTATATAACAGAATGAGGAAATTTTGAATGCGTTTGTTAAACAAAGAAGTAGAGCTGACTTTTGAGAGACGAATGTTGTATGGAGACGAGTAATCTCCAAGTATAAAGCTATAAGTACTCTTTTATTTAAAGCTTCAAGCTTATCCGCGTCGCGCGCTCCACAAAAGTGCCAGACAGAGGAGCAATAATAAAAGTGAGGTAAAATATACGCTTTGTAAAGTTTGAATAAGATTTCCTTGCATATGAGTTTTCTAAAGCGCAACACAACATTAAATTGATTATTAATCTTTTTGCATACATTTGATATATGTTTAGAAAAATTCAGTTTATTATCTATTTCCATTCCAAAAATCTCTAACGTGTCCTTTACTGGGAAGGAAAAACCATACTCCGTAACTATGGTATCACCGAGGATTAGACACTGGTGCTTGCTCTCATTAACTAACATCCCATTTTCATGGTACTACTGATTGGCCACGCCAACATCATGAGATACGCATGCATCCAGAGCTGCCGGATCGACGTGGGAGTAGTATACCTGATGATCATCCGCATAAGCGTTCAACTTGGCCTTCTTGACGTGGAAGAAAAGATCGTTTATGAAAATGTTGAATAGCATAGGACCTAGCACACTCCCTTGCGGGACCCCACGCTTGACACCTTTCCAGGTCGAAAAGGTGTCTCCAACTTTAACTCTCTGAGTTCTGCTAGAGAGATAGTTCCTAATTAGGGCACAACTTTTGTCGTCCATACCATAGGCCCTCAGTTTCGAAAGGAGGAGTGGATACTGAATAACATCAAACGCTTTGGAGAGATCCATAGAAACTACCGCAACAAGCTCCCCCCTGTCACGCATCATTCTCCAGTCCTCCGTCAACCTTAGCAAAGAGGTCTCGCAACTATAAAACTTTCTATAAGCACTTATGAAGTCTGATAAGAGTCCATTGTAAAATTCATACATCTGCCCCGATAGAAGCCTTTCAAAAATATTGTTTAGAGCAGGGAGCACAGTTACGGGCCTATAGTTGATCTTACAAAACTCGTCGTCTTTTTTGTACAAAGGAGTAACCATGCCCATCTTCCAGCTAGCAGGATAACAGCAATGTTCAATGCAACAGTTTATTATACTTGTTATAGGCAGCGCAATAACAGCTGCCGCTTCTTTAATCAACTTTGGTGGGATCATATCGTGACCAGGTGACTTACGTACATTGATCTCTTTTAGTAATAGCTCAACCTCGGTTTCACTTGCGCGACGAAAACTGAAGCAAGCTGGAGCACTAGAGCCCCTGTGTTCATGGATTGCTTTGATGCTGGGATGATTTGCATAATCCTCACCGTAATCCTCTGCTCGTATTTCAGGCATGCTGTCAGCAATGTGAACAAAGTAGTCATTAAGCAGATTGGCAATCTCCTTTTTGTCACTAATAATCCTGTAATTTTCTTTCAAGATAATGTCATTGGCTTGCTTACTTTTAGTATGCAAAAAGGGGCGGAAAGAAGACCAGAATTCGCGCGGGTGTTCGGTGTCTGCTGTTTTCCTCGCGAAGTGTTGTTTTATTGCTTTTCGCCTAAGAGAGGTGCAGGTATTACGTTGAGTTTTTTATGCCTCGTAATTTGCATCAGTACGATTGCGCGTGAATTTTTCCACAGTTTGTTGCGATGCCTGATCGCCCTCCTCCATTGTTCCGTCATATAAGGCACCTGATTACCACGTATCATTGTTTACTTGATAGGTGCGTGTTCATTGAGAACACTTAGAAACAATTGCTCAAAAGCATAAAGCTTATCATCAAGTTCATCAAACAAATCAATTATGTGGAAAGGCACAATTTGCATATCATGCACAAAGTTCTCTCGACAGAAGTTTTTCAGACTACGAAAACAAATCTTGCGAGATCGAGTCCTTGGTGCTGATGATCGCAGGATAGTATAAACTAACGAATGATCACTAAGTTGCGTGTCTACCACGCCTGATATTAAGACCTTTTTCTTGTCATTCGTCAGGATTAAGTCCAGCAGTGTTTCAGTTGTTTTTGTTTTGCGAGTTGGCTCCGTAATCAAACAATCAAGATTAAAAATATCTAGCAGATCTAGTAGAGCCCGACCGTCTCTGTGTTGTTTATCAGGAGCAAGAAGGTCCGCGTTTAAGTCTCCTGCTAGGAAAACCGTGTTTGTGAGCGAGGAAACTGCTTCGAAGAGAACAGAGAATTCACGCGTCCACTGAGATCTCACAATCGAGGGAGGTCGGTAAATGCCCACAACAGTAATCCAAGTCTTCGGTAGTTTGACTTTCAAAACAATCGACTCCGTCTTAAAGGTTGACCATGTATCGGAAGAGAGCCCTTTGAGCTCTTTAACTCTAATAAAACAGATATCACTCCTTACGAACACCATCAATCCGCCTCCTCCAGCCTTTCTGTCGCAACGACTCAAACGAAAACCTTCAACGGGAAACATAGAGTTAGGGAAAGTAGCATCTATTTTAGTTTCGGATATTATCAAAACATCCAGCCTACCAGATTGTAGCCAAGTCTTAATCTCATTGAATTTGAAACCACCAATACTGTTCGCGTTGATGTGTCCTAGTTTGAGATTTGATCGATGATTATTAGCCTTCTGATCAAAGTCGGCCCATATTTCATTTTCAGCCTCCGTTCCACCTTCGACTTGGACTTGATCAATATCTCCTTCGGTGTCTGAATCATCGAAAAAGCTGTCGCTTAGTGGGGGTAGAGAACATTTTACTACAGTACCAGGCCTGTACATCACGAGTACGTATTTTCTTAAAGCTCGCACCAGAACACTTCACATGAAACGTCTTTCCACACAAACCCGCACAACGGACGCCATCTTGGTTTCTTCGAAGGGTCTTTGAACAACCACCGCAAATAGATTTCGAGTGATTAGAAGCGTCCCCTTTTTCTGGTCCTGGTTACTACTGATGTCCCCTGAAAGCTTGAGAAGTTCAAATTGAGTTGTAGCGGAAGAATTATTACAATAGAGAACTCTCCGTCCGAAGAAGGCTTTTGCTCTTGGTCTTCCATATGAAGGCAATCTCACTTTCGATGGATACGAACAGAATGTATACCATTTCAGCTCAAAAATAATAGAGACAGATTCTCCGTCATTTTAATAGACAAAGAATGGCTCGGGAAGCCTAAACTGCCGAAAAAAGTGAGTACGTAGCAGAGCACCAAGGACGCACGTCCGTCCATGGCTACGTTGACACTTTGCCACTTTGACTACGTTGACACTTTGCCACACGATGCCACATACAGGGCAATCTCTCTTGAATTTATACGGCATCTTTACCACACGAGAACCTCCAACATACTGAAGGAAATAAGTTATTTTCCTGTAGGGTCAATGTGGGGTCGATGTGGGATCGATGTGAGGTCGATGTGGGGTCGATGTAGGGTCGATGTAGGGTCGATGTAAAATCGATTAATTTTTACGAAGGAGAACGTTTAGTAACCCCGCCTTCACCAATATCCTATAAAAGAGGGGCGTTTCTTTCTGAAGTTTAGTTTCCTATAAGAACGCGTGCGGCTCAAAACAAAAACAAAAAATGTAGAACAGTAGCCATCATTACACCCTTCTTCAACAAGGTGCTGGAAAATATGAAGACAGTGAGGAAAGCGATTTCTCCCAAAAGCGACGTCTGTCAAGCCAGCCAAGGAACGGAGTCTTCCCAAGAAGAAACGGAAAACTTAGAGCCTTGGTCGCGCATTTTTGATGAAGCCGAGAAACGCCACGAGACCCAGCTCAACGCATTGATCAATGAGTACGAAGGGAACGGAGATTCAGAAAATGTGGCTCGTATTGCAGCCGAGAACGCTCTTGTTCCTGTTTACAGAAAAGAGCTAAGAAAAGTACTCTTATAGAATCTACAGTGGATGCGTGCAATAAAAAAAGATCCCACCTTCAAAAAAGTGATGGAAACCCAAAACCCAAAAAGAGCTTAAAGACACAGAAGGATTTGATTAGTTGGAATCGACAGAACTTGCTATCGATAAGCGAAAATTCTTACTCAATCGATTGTACGAAAAGCAGTCCATTCCACAACATCAAGACTAGACCTACTATGAATGTTATAATTTTTTTTCGCTGGACCTTTGTATTGTTGCGTTTCAATAAAAACTGTAAACAATTTTTTAAGTGTGTTTTATTGATTAGTTCACAATCCTTACAACCTTTTGTCTATTCAAAATGTTACATGAAACTTATTATTCAAAACAAACTTGTTTCATTGATTTAGAACAAACAGGAAGACCTAGGGTTCCTTATATTGTTAAGCATAGCAATGTATTTTGATCTGCGTGCATCTTGTGCAAAAGCTCTAGAATAAGAAGGTAACTGTTTATCGTTTTCAATCTCTTCACGTTCTTCGGGGGTGATGACATAACGTTGAAAAGGTAGTGTTTGCCTTCAATGTGTCTTTCATACAAAACCTTCAACACCCGGTAACTTTCGGGGTGATGCCCGTCCTCCCTAGCGTACTTGTAATACGCCTGACGCTGCACATCGTCTTTCTCTATACAAAGTGTAGCATCTGGGTCGTCTCGAGAGTCTTCTTTCAATTTTTGGACATAAAACTTGTACGATTCCCATACTTCGTGCATCCATTCTCTGTATCTTAGCCCATGAAAGATGTTTGGACTTCCTAGACTGTTAAATCCGTTGTCACACATTAAAATTAAGCCTTCGTCATATTTGCGTGTATGGCGCTGGTGTTGGATAAATGCTTTCTGTTTAGCCTCTTGGCGATGTTTTTCAAACATCTCCTTTATCTCTCCATAAGGATGGAATCTTGTGACCCGTGGCTGAGGTGAATACGAGAGCCGCTCCTTGATACCATGAGATATTGGTTGGTCTATCCACATGAAAAAGTTGCACTCTTTTTTGTGGCATGTTAGAAACATTCGATCCTGGCTCAAAGGCTGTTTACGATTTCTCAACGCTAGCTTGTTAGAACAATCACAGACCAACTGAGCTGCATATTTTTTTCACATCAGAGTGTGTATGATGCGCGATCCACTCTATGTCCTCTTTCCATTCTGAATCAGGGGCACACATAAAGCACATTTTCCTGGGATAGTACACATAGCAAAATCCTTGCGCTTTTTCTACCTATTCCAACGTTGAGCGGAGATGAAACGGGCAGAGCTGATCGGGTAAGGAACTCGCTTTATCTTCTGTCAAAAGAGGTGTAGCGCTCGATTCGACTTAAATGTTTGGAGCAATGTTTCAAAGAATATTGATGATAGAAAGACTTTCTTCTTTTTTCTTTTCCTTCTTGTTTGGTTTTCAATTCAATTCAATGACTCCTCGATGCACGCCGGTGTGATCAAAGCGCGCATTTGCGAGGAATAATGATCACCACTACAACATTTTTTTCATTTTTTTCACTGCAAATTACAGAAATTATATCCTTGACGCAGATAACCATCAATCATCTAAAGGTCCGGTTTAATCTTTGAAATATACCTTTTTTAATTTGACAAAAAAAAAAAAAACATTTAGTAAAGCAAACTGTACTTTGAAAATGTACAGGTCTCAATGAAAATGAGTGAAATATGAAGTCTGCCCGGCTGAGACTGTTACAGCGGATTTCGTTATAAGTTAAATTTATCAGTCTAGTTCAATTGCATGTTGGTTAGTAGAGGAGGTGTTAGGAGGATGCAAACCTCCCGCTTTTCGCCCTTGCATTCTCGGATCCCACCCTTATTGTTTTTGGCTTCCTAACTTTAGCTACAAAGCAGACGTTCTTAAGGGTTCGTCACGCCTTCCTGCAGGCGCGCGTGACATTCCGCTAAGAACGTCTGCGTTGTAGGCTAAACTTTAGCCCTCTTTTGAACGCAAAATGTGAACCTTTTTTTTTTAATTCTCCCTATCTTTTCCGCTTTCCGCCCTTTTAATACTCCCGCCTCCCCCACTTTCTTCTCCCGGTACACTTCGTATGTAACCTAGCTGAACAGAACATAGCTGGATTGAATTGTAGTGTTATTTCCTGTCTTTTCTTTCTCCTTTTGTTAAATAAAAAAAATTCCTACGTTAGTCTCGAACCTTGGGCGAAGCAATTCATGACGCATTTTCACAATGATAAGTTGAGTCGGATCAGAACATAGGAGTGATATTTGAAGGAAGTCCGAGCCGCCTGGATTTTTAATCTCCATTAGTGCAACAATTAAAGGAGCGCAGGGAACGGATGGAACTAATAAAAGAGCACAATATTCATTTCTATTGGTAACGATTACTCAGACTCTACGTCAATAATCACCTTACATTGGCTTCATTCAGCACACTTTTATAGACTAACATTACGCTGATATAGGGCTCGCGTTTTGAGGTTCAATTCTAATAGGTTTTCTTTTGTTTATCCTTGCCTGTTCCGTTTTTTCATATAATACCACCTTTGATGTTTATATAATTTTTGCGTTTTATCCAGCACAGTCAATTCACTTGATACAGGAGTACGCTTTTTTGATTTATTAAAAATAAATAAACATAATCGAAACAAGGCTTCATCGTACACAGTGTTAAGACTTTTGAAAGTTACTTCTGCAGTTCTGATACATAAAGTCGTCATAACACGATTCTCCTGAAAAGCCCTTGGTTTCATAGTTACTTACCGAGGCAGCGTCTGCAAATTAAATTTTGAAGATTTTATGTTTGCTTAACTTGTGGCATGAAACAGCCTTGATAGTTATCTTAAATTTCTTTCTAAACGGAACAGGCTCGATAACGAAAACATTTGATAATCATGCCCCGTGGTTTCTCTAGAATCCGGCGTCTTATAAACAATTACATTATTTAATTTTTGAAGAAACAATCAGGTTTTGTTTGAAAAATAAAAGAAAAAAGGTTTGAACCGGTATTGATTCACTTGACAAAAATTGTGAACAGTCGCTATTCAATCCCTTATATAAACACATTCTTGCACGATCTCATTACGAGCTGCAATCACGTATTACTTACAGCGAATAGAGACTGCAGTGACACGTGAAAATTACCCAAGATCGGTCAGTATTTTAAACAGTTCCGCCCAGGGACGCAATAGGCCAGATTCTTTACCTATCGACTATAAATTTCAGAGTGGTATCAAACTAGTTTGTTTGGTTTTATTTTATTTTTTTTTGTTTTCTCAATCCACTTTAAAACATTCTCACTTTATTGGCTAGCTTCCACAGCTGCGCACTTATTGTTTGAAGCTTCAGTGACTGATGAGCAAAAATATTTGTGGACAAAAATGTCTATCGTCACCTTAGTGTATGAATCCCGGAAAGTTAATTAAAATTTAAGCCCATTTTTGTAGGGCCAGTTTAAAACTGAGTGAGACCTTTAAGGTGTATGCTTGCACAAATTTGATTTTGAATTTGTTGTTGTAAAATGCCTTTCGCAAGTTGGAATGGTTTCTGATGGTATCGACTGTAAGGATGCTAGACCTTATTAACTACCTGCGGAATTTTCAATAATCAGAAGTTATTTTTTTTTAATCGAGAGCTGAATTATTTCAAGCAATTTACTGAATTTAACACAGTATCCAGAAGTTAAACTTAAACACAGGTTAGTCCTTTTCAAACCAGCGTAGAGGTCAGAACCTTTTCAATGCGTGTACCTTAGTGCCAACCGTTTTTCGATGGCATAAAAAAAATGGCATTCAAATTTCATTTTTATTTTTCGGTTTTCTTCGGCCTTGTAAAATGGAATTCCATTCCCATTTCTATTTTTCGTTTTTTGTCTACTTGTGACATTGAAAAACGGATTTGAAGTTTCGTTTTTCGTTTTTCGTTTTCGCCGCACTTTGAAAAGGGGATTTGAATGTCGGTTTTTGTTTCGTTTTCTCATCACTTTCAAAAACGGATTTGAATTTCGTTTTTCGTATTTGCATTGCCTGTTATTGAAAAACAGATTGGAGTTTCATTTGTCATTTTTGCATGAATTTGAAAAGTGGATTAATACATGTACACCAGTTATTTGAAACTCCCCCCCCTACCTAAGGGGATGACCAGGGTAATCACGGAGGGGCCTTTCAGTTCATAATCACCCCATTTTTATTCCCTGGTAGGCGGGGGATACGCTAGAAATCTCGGTCTTTGCCTCCCTGACCGGGGAATAAGCAGGGCAGTCACTCTGTGGTAAGCGTTTCCATTTTCGCGACGCGTAGTAATTTTGAATACATTTTTATCGCTTCTCACAGCTGAAGAAATACATGTATGCTTTGTAAAGTGTCTCCTGACGCCGCTTACATAAGACACGTCTTAAATAAGACACAAACTGTACCATTTATTCGAGCATATAAGGAGTGTCTTAGCTGAGTCCCGTATTATTTAAATCTTGAACACATTTTTTGTGCCTCTTATAGGAGAAGTTAACTAGACGCGTCTTATTTTTCCCCGTTCAAGTGGCCCAATTGTTTAATAACTTATGCTGCAGTAATTTGTTGTATCCTGGAAATGACGACAAAAAGGCACTTTGTAATGATTGAGTCATTCTACAAAAACTCCAGAAGACTGTGAAACTTGATTTGTAATTTTTTGTTATCTCTCATTTTGTGACTTCAAGTTGTAAAGTGTTCAAATGTTCGTCATTTTCCTTCTCCATCGAGGATATGTAGTTTTTGCAATAGCTGCGTGTTTTTTCGCGGCTATCATCATATCATTTGTCATCCATTGTTAAAAAAGGGAGTACCGTGTGTGTGTAAGACATATCATTGGGAGGGGGGGAGTTTACTACTCACTTTGGCCCCGGAGAGAGGAAAATTCACTTACTTTCAGTTACATAAAAAGTGAATGCCCCGGCCAGCCCCGAGGAGGTGGCCGGGGCTTCAAATGACTGGACTGGTGCAGTGATCCGTTTTTCAAGTCATGCAAAAATGACAAAC